CCCCCCCCCCCGGGGGGGGGGGCGGGGGGGGCCCGCTTTCCTTTTTTCCCCGGGGGGGGGGGGGGGGTTCCACCTGTTTGGTGACCCTGCTTTTTGTGGGCATCTCGGACCCTCCAGGCAGGTAGTGGGAGCCCTGGATTGTCACAATTGTCAGTTTTTCTTTCAGGGCCCCAGTGTGTCCCTTCTATCAAAGGTGCTCACATGGACTGGGGTGAAGGGTGGGAGATCCTGCAATTGAAAATACTTTTTGACTTTATCACCTGTGTAAACCTGGAGGGTCCACAAGTATTTCTACCTGAGGACTCAGAGAGGCTGAGCCTGCCACCCTATCTTGCTCTGTCCATGGCCTTAAGAGGTCTCCTCCTGCAGTAACTTTACTGCCTGGACACCTGTCAGTAGGCAATGTTCAGTCCCCACTCTGCTAGCTGCCTGCTAGGCAAAACCTCACGCAGCGCTGCCAAAAAGGATTTGATCTTTTCTGTTGTACAGATGAAGAAACTGAGGCCCAGTGAGCAGAGGTGATTGGCCTGGGCTCTACCTCAAGTTGGTGGTGGGCAGGGCTGGAAGCTCACGCTGGGGATCCTGAGAGCACTGGGGGCCCCGGGCTTGTTTGCTCATGGGCCCTGTAGAGCACTTTGACCCAGTCGTGGCCACCCCGAGTTGGTTAGAGGGCCCTGGTCTGAGCCAGCCAGGCTGCCAGTTGCCTGCTGGTGGAGAGGGCCTGTGGCCGGCTGAGGCTCAGGCAGGGAGTGTGTCCCAGTCTGTACAAGGAGGAAGGAGTCAGCATAGATAGCACTTGCTTTTAACAGAGGGGAAACCATAGCCCTGAATGGCCAGGCCTGGGTCCTGAGGCTACTTGGCTGCAGGCAGAGCCTGGGCTTGTGCCCAGAATACACAGACACACACTGGTTGGCTACATGGCCAGCACCTGGCTCAGCCCCAAGCCTTGGTCTTTCTACTGAGTAATGGGTTGGTGATGGCAGCTTCACTCCTGGCTTCCTGGTGGGCAAGGGAAGTTGCAGAGACAATGAATTTGGCATTTTGTAGTCCTGAATTTGAGTCCCACTGTGTGCTTTTGGGCTGCTTGTGGCTGTTTCTGAACCTCAGTGCCCTTTTTTGTCTCCAAGATGAGGTGAGCTAATCTTGCAAGGTAGTCTAGGGTAGTGGCCAGTGGTTGAGGCATGGGGGTCAGGCAGGTCCTGGACTCAGATTTGTCTCTGATTCTGTAAGAACATAGGCCAGCAAGTCACATCTCTACAGCTCAGTTTCTTTATCTGTAGAACGGGGCTAATGATCATGCCTCCCTCTTAGATCTGTGTGTCAGGAGGATTAGGGGCCCAGCCTGGCCCCATTAATGTGGATGGCCCCAGAGTGGGCCTGGCTCTCGGCACAGACCCACACTGATGACATGCCCCCCACCCTTTGAGTCCTTCCAGCATGGATGAGGACCTTGCTCTGACCTGGGGTCCTTTTGGGGGACTGCTCTGTCCAGCATTCACCATTCCTCTTTGGGTATCCTGTGCTGCCCCTGGGGAGTGTGGCCTGAGCTGCACAATTGGGTCTGGTCATGGAGGATCCCACTACCTCTTCGGGGACTTAAGTCAGTCCTGCTTCTCTCTACACCTTTCTCTTCTCTCTGTAAATTGGGGGGAGGGGGAGGTCACCCACTCCTGCAGTCTCTAAGTTCTCTCATCCTGTGCCCAGAAGACCCTGCTGGGCAGCCTTGAAGGAAGAGACCAGGAGTGGCCAGTGGGTGGAGTGTGGGGACCATCACACTTACATGAAGGTCCTCTTGGTCCTGCTTCCCACCTCCCCTAGGCTGCCTCCTCTCTGTGGCTACTATGTCTCATTCTCCTCCCCAGAACTGGACCTGCTGGATCTTTGAGGCATGCCCCCATTTCACAGATTGAGAAATTGAGGTCTCAAGTGGGGCCAAGGCAAGGCTGTACCTGGGCCACTGGACTCCTTTTGTCCTGGGCAGGGTGGGTGCTCCTTCACCAAGCCAGGTCCTGGGGCAGGGGTGGTGATGGAGTGTGGAGAGGGCAGGAGAGGCTGTCAGGAAGGGTTGTCACCTCCTGGGCAAGTGCTTGGAGGCCAGTTTGTGTCCACAGTACAGTGCAGATGTGGGTGTGTGTAAGGAATCAGAGGTGGGTGTCTTTAGAGTATATGCTTCATGAACACAGGAGTAAAAATCTACTACCATCCATATCAAGATACAGGACATTCCCAGCTCCCCCGTAGGTTGCCTGGTTCTGGGCGGCGATTTCTGTCTGTCTTGTTCATGTCCAGGAACCTGGCATACAGTGGGCCTGGCAACAGTGGACACCCAGGACATACTTACCGAGTGAAAAAATGATTGAAAGTGGGCCTGCTCTTTGCTGTGGACTGAGGATGTTGTCAGATACTCAGGAAAATGCTGGGTGGTGGTGACAGCTCTGGCTCTGAAGTCGGTAGTCTTGGGCCTGACCCCTGCACAGCTCCAGCCTAGCTGTGGGCCAAGGTCATGAGCCTCATGGCCCCACCCCTCCAGTTGTTGCAAGGGCTCTTCGAGCACCTGCAGCATGAGGCATTGCTCTAGATGTCACAGGTGCCTGTGAAATGGCTATGTGTCCCGGAGTACCGGCTCCTGTGGGTGTTGTCCTTGCCTTGGCCCCACTTGGAGCCTTAGTTTCTCAATCTGCGCGGGGTCTAGCTTCTACCCCATTGTTGCTCACTCACCCTCTTCTTTTCCAGACATGCTTCAGCTCATCAACAACCAAGACAGCGACTTTCCTGGCCTGTTTGACCCACCTTATGCTGGGGGTGGGGCAGGAGTCACAGACCTGGCCAGTCCCGATGCCAGCTCCTCAGGCAGCTTGTCCCCCCCTCCTGCCACACTGAGCTCCCCTCTTGAAGGCTTCCTGGGGGTGCCCAAGGCAGAGCCCCCACCCTTGTCCCCACCCCAGCCTGTACCCACACCATTGAAGATGTACTCATCTGTGCCCGCCTTCTCTCCTGGGCCTGGCATCAAGGAAGAGTCAGTGCCACTAACCATCCTGCAGACCCCTGCCCCACAGCCCCTGCCAGGGGCCCTCCTGCCCCAGAGCTTTCCGGCCCCAACTCCACCGCAGTTCAGCTCTGCCCCTGTGGTGGGCTACTCCAGCCCTCCTGGAGGCTTCTCCACAGGTAAGGGGGATGTGGTGGGAGGGGGAAAGCTGGGCTGGGGCTGCCGGGAGCACAGGAAGGCGCGTTTGCTGTGGTCTTACTAGAAGAATGTGCAGGGTTTAGAAACTGCATCTTCACTCTTTGCCTGAGAGCCCCATTACTAGCAGTGTTTGGATTCTGGCTGCTGGGGTAAGCACTGCCTCCCACTGGAGGTCTGGCAGGAAGCTACGCATTTGCATCAGAGCCTATGGAGGGGCTGTCCATATAGGAAACCATGGCGGGTAATGACCCATCCAAGGCCACAGGGTGATAGGGACTTGAGGCATGGGTTGAAAGTGGGTGAGGGCTGCAGCCTAGGCTTTGTCTCTGCAGGGACCCCTCCTGGGAGCACCCAGCAGCCGCTGCCTGGCCTGCCACTGGCTTCCCCACCAGGGGTCCCGCCTGTCTCCTTGCATACCCAGGTCCAGAATGTGGTCTCCCAGCCGCTGCTGACGGCCACAGCAGCCCCTGGAACGACCACTGTGACCTCACAGATCCAACAGGTCCCGGTAAGGGGGTCTGGTCAGGCATCAGGGAGGTGGCAGCCCCTGGTGTGGACACGAGCTCATTGCTGAGCCCTCTCCCACCCCCAGGTCCTGCTGCAGCCTCACTTCATCAAGGCAGACTCGCTGCTTCTGACAGCCATGAAGACAGACGGGGCCACTGTGAAGACAGCGGGGATCAGCTCCCTGGTCCCTGGCACGGCCGTGCAGACAGGGCCCTTGCAGGTGGGTGGCCTGGGCGGGGCTGAAGGGCATGGGGTCTGCACACACACACGTCCCTCTGGTAACGTGTGCCTGGCCCTGCAGACCCTGGTGAGTGGTGGAACCATCCTGGCAACAGTGCCATTGGTTGTGGACGCTGACAAGTTGCCCATCAACCGGCTGGCAGCCGGCAGCAAGGCCCCAGGCTCAGCTCAGAGCCGTGGTGAGAAACGCACAGCCCACAATGCCATCGAGAAGCGCTACCGCTCCTCCATCAACGATAAGATCATCGAGCTCAAGGACCTGGTGGTGGGCACTGAGGCAAAGGTGTGGGCAGAGGCTGCAGAGGCACAGCCTGGGGCCATGTGGGGAGCGGCTGGTCCGGGGCACCTGGAAGGGAGAGAGGGATCGGGGTGAGCATGGACAGACGAGGACTTGAGCCTGGCCAGCCCCGTCTATTCAGTTAACCTTTATCGAGGGCCTCCTCAATAAAACAGGGGCTGTTCTAGGCATCAGGGATGCAGCAATGAACAAGACAAAGATCCCGACCTGGAGGAGCTGAGTTCTCAGGGGGGTGGGAGGGAGATGACAATAAACAGCATAAGTGAGCATTAGAGCATGCCACGTGGTGGGAAGTGCTCTGGAGGGAGATGAAGCAGGAAGAGGGACGGGGACAGCTGCAGCTCTAAATCGGGTGGTCGGGGAAGGAGTGACTGAGGGGATACGATAAATGAGCAGAGACCCGAGGGAGGCGAGGGAGTGTCATGAGGATGCTAATGACAACAGCAGCTATCCAGGCACTGTTGTATGCACTTTACCTGTTAATTCTTAGGCCCATCCTGGGAGGTAGGTACTAGTAGGGGAGGAATATCCCAGGTAGAAGAAACAGCAAGTGCAAAGGTCCTGAGGCAGCTGTGTTGCAAAGTGGCTCCACACTCCCTTGCAAAGTGCCTGCCACCATGCCTGACCGGCCACCTTTGCTCTCTCCCTCCCAACCCCTTGCAGCTGAATAAATCTGCCGTCTTGCGCAAGGCCATCGACTATATCCGCTTCCTACAACACAGCAACCAGAAACTCAAGCAAGAGAACCTGAGTCTGCGCACGGCTGCCCACAAAAGCAGTGAGTCCTGGCTTGGGTCTGCCTCTGCCTCTGGCCTCTCCTGTAGCCCTACCCTGCCCCCAGCTATGGCCTCACCTCCAGCCCTGGCCACTTCAGCTCTAGCCCCTGGGTTAGCTCTGGCCCCTTGATGGCTCTGGTTCCTCCTTGGGCCCTAATCTGGCCCTCTCCCAGCTTCTGGGGCCTCAGGAGCTAGGCCAACCTCAGGGCCCTGAGCTCTGATTCAGGGTGGGGTACCCAGTCTTCACCCCCAGCTCTGCTCCTTTCCTGCCCGCAGAATCTCTGAAGGATCTGGTGTCAACCTGCAGCAGTGGAGAGAACGCCGACTTGCCCATGGAGGGTGTGAGGTCTGAGGTGGTGGACACGCTGACCCCGCCACCGTCAGATGCTGGCTCGCCCTCCCAGAGCAGCCCCTTGTCCCTTGGCAGCAGGGGTAGTGGCAGCGGTGGCAGTGGCAGTGGCAGTGACTCGGAGCCTGACAGCCCAGTCTTTGAGGATATCCAGGTTGGGCCCTGCAACGTTGGCCCCTTCCCCACTCCTAGTGATAACCTCTGAGCCCCAGGACTGGGTCAGGAGGAGGCCCCTAACAGATCCTACCTCCCATTATAGACAGAAAATCTGGGGTCTGGAGCTGGATGGGGTCCCGCTCCCTCCTTCCCAGTCCCATGCTCTTTGGGGTCACTTGGGCTCTGACCTCACCACTCTGCCCACCCCCACCAGGTGAAGCCAGAGCAGCTGCCATCTCCCCACAGCCGGGGCATGCTGGACCGCTCCCGCCTGGCGCTGTGTACACTTGTCTTCCTCTGTCTGTCCTGCAATCCCTTGGCCTCCCTGCTGGGTGGCCAGGGGCTTCCTGGCCCCTCGGATGCCACCAGTGTCTACCACAGTCCTGGGCGCAACATGCTGGGCACCGAGGGCAGAGGTAGAACAGGCCAGCCTGGGATCCTTGGGAGGGACTCTTGGGGGTGCAGGCCTGTGGGCTTGGGACTCTGGATTTCCTGGGAGCTGTGTCTCCACCCATCCGTCTGCTCACAGATGGCCCTACCTGGGCCCAGTGGCTGCTGCCCCCGCTGGTCTGGCTGATCAATGGGCTGCTGGTGCTGGTCTCCTTGGTGCTTCTCTTTGTCTATGGAGAGCCAGTCACGCGGCCCCACTCCAGCCCTGCCGTGCACTTCTGGAGGCATCGCAAGCAGGCTGACCTGGACCTGGCCCGGGTAAGGGGCCAGCCTGGGGGAGAGTGGGCAGGGCAGGGATCCGGGCCCCAGGCTGACACGGTTCTGGGCGTCACCCCTGTTCCCTGCTCTCTGTGCATGCCACGCATCTGCCCTGTTCTCCCTACTCTTGTCCACTCCACTGCCCCTGAGGGTCCAGCCCTGTGCTGCTGGGGAGCCTGAGGCGGAGGGCTCTTCAGAGACAGAGGGAGTGCTCTGACCCCACTTTTCTCACAGGGGGACTTTGCCCAGGCTGCCCAGCAGCTGTGGCTGGCCCTGCGGGCACTGGGCCGGCCCCTGCCCACCTCCCACCTGGACCTGGCCTGCAGCCTACTCTGGAACCTCATCCGCCTCCTGCTGCAACGTCTCTGGGTGGGCCGCTGGCTGGCAGGCCGGGCGGGGGGCCTGCAAAGGGACTGTGCTCTGCAGGCGGATGCTCGCGCCAGCGCCCGAGATGCAGCCCTTGTCTACCATAAGCTGCACCAACTGCACACCATGGGTATGGCTGGGTATGGAGCTGGGTTCGAGGGGCTCCCAGCCACCTTAGCAGCACCCCCGGCCTCACACCCCACCTGCTTTCCAGGGAAGTACACAGGTGGGCATCTTGCTGCCACCAACCTGGCGCTGAGTGCCCTGAACCTGGCGGAGTGTGCAGGGGATGCCCTGTCCGTGGCAACGCTGGCAGAGATCTACGTGGTGGCCGCGCTGAGGGTCAAGACCAGTCTCCCGCGGACCTTGCATTTTCTGACAGTGAGTGGGTGGTGGGCTGGCAGGCACAGGGCTGTGGGCTTTTCTTTGCAGCTCTCAGCAGTGGCTCCCTGGGCAGGGGGCTGCACAGGATGAGACAGCTGGTTACGAGGGGGGCTCCAGCCCAGCTGGGATCTCAGCCCCAGGTCCAGGTTTGAGCTCCTGTCTGGGTCCAGTGTAACAGCCTGGCTCCCTTCCCCCACAGCGCTTCTTCCTGAGTAGTGCCCGCCAGGCCTGCCTGGCACAGAGTGGCTCAGTGCCTCTTGCCATGCAGTGGCTCTGCCACCCCGTGGGCCACCGTTTCTTTGTGGATGGGGACTGGGCCGTGCGCAGTTCCCCGCGAGAGAGCCTGTACAGCTTGGCTGGGAATCCAGGTACTCTCACCCCTGTCCCTGTCCCCCATCCTGTCCCTGCCCCCCCATTCCCATCCCTTGTCCCCACATCTCTGGATGTCCCTGCCCACCCCAGTCCACCTCTCTGCCGTCAGTTGTTGCTGTGGGGGCTACAGGAGCAGGAAGACCTGGTTGGGGCACTGTTCCAATTGGGGCTCTTCAGAAGAAACACAGGATTTGGGGGCAGGTGGCTGGTTTTGGAGGGCAGGTGGTGGCTGTCTCCAAAAGGCAGCCCTGCCCTGGGCTGAGGAAGCGAGCTGGGAAGGGGTGGGGCCAGCCCAGGGGCGGAGCCAGCCCAGGCACCTTCGCCAGTAGGTTGCCTTTTGGAGACAGCCTAGAGCGTGCCTCGTGCTTCGCTACCTAAGGGCAGGGGCTGAGGTATTTATTCACCACCTGCCATCTGTCTTTGGTGGGGGCTGCTCCCAGGGCCAAGCTGGCACTTTGGACTGGCCCTGGGTGTGGACCTCCCAGGAAAAATCCCTCAGTGTGTTGAGGTGACTGTGGAGAGGAGGGCTGGGGCCCCTGTCCCCCACCCCACTCACCCACTCCTCCGCACAGTGGACCCCCTGGCCCAGGTGACTCGGCTATTCCGTGAACATCTCTTGGAGCGAGCACTGAACTGTGTAGCCCAGCCCAACCCCAGCCCCGGGTCAGCTGATGGGGACAGGTGAGTGTCCCTGTGCCCCCTCCAGGCAAGACTCCTCCGACGTGAAGTCTGCGAGTGGCTGTGTCTAGGAACTTTGTGGGTGGCAGAGCCTGGGCTGTGTGCCTTTAGTTCTTCTCTGGGTCTTATTTTCCCCACCAGCCTGGCAGGAGGAGATGGGGGTACTTTGTGGAGCAGGGGGTCAGGCTGTGCTCTGGTGGGCAGGTGGGGAGGGCTGGCGCCCTCCCAGGACTTCCAGCCTTCCTGCCATCTGTCCTGACAGCCAGTCCTTTCCCGCCACAGGGAGTTCTCAGACGCACTCGGGTACCTGCAGCTGCTGAACAGCTGTTGTGATGCTGCCAGCGCCCCTGCCTGCAGCTTCTCCATCCGCTCCAGTGTGGCCACCAGCACCAGTGAGCCCCCGCCCTGCCCCCGCCTCCCGCTCAGCCCCAGATGCAGAGGGGCTGAAGATTCAGGGAGCCCCTCCCCCTCTGCAGGCACAGACATGGTGGCCAAGTGGTGGGCCTCACTGACAGCTGTGGTGATCCACTGGCTGCGGCGGGAAGAGGAGGCAGCCGAGCGGCTGTACCCGCTGGTGGAGCACCTGCCCCGTGCCCTGCAGGAGTCCGAGTGAGTGCTTAGCCCCCCAGGCGTGGCGCCGTGTTTCCACTGGCCTTTGTTCTGGGCCGTAGGATCGCTGCCCTTTATTCCCCAAGAGGCCAAAACCAGGGCAGGGGTGCTCAGCGAGGGCCGTTGGCCAGATCTGACCGGCACTCCTCTGCCCTGGCCCCGACAGGAGACCCCTGCCCAGGGCAGCTCTGCACTCCTTCAAGGCCGCCCGGACCCTGCTGGGCTGTGCCAAGGCAGAGTCTGGCCCAGCCAGCCTGGCCATCTGTGATAAGGCCAGTGGGTTCCTGCGGGACAGCCTGGCCACCACACCAGCTGGCAGCTCCATTGACAAGGTGAGGTGTGGGGCTGGGGCCTGGCAGGGTTGGGGATCACAGCTTTCCAGTTCCCAGGCGTTCCCGGGCAGCCCTCAGGGGCTGTAGAAGACTGGGGTTAGCCCAAGGGGCGCAGGATACGGGGTCTGGCTGCCCTTGCTTTTTGGCTAAGGCTTGAGTCCAGGCGAGAGTGGCTGCCCCTCTCTGGCCTCAGTTTCTCCAGCCCCAGGAGGAAGGGTGGGGTGAGCAGCATGGCAGGGCCCCTTTCTGCAGGGCTGCATGGTGGCTCCCTAGGCAGGTGGCCGGCGGAGGCCTGGAGAGGCGGGCGGCCCCGCGGTGCATTGCTGTTGCATTGCGCGTGTGTGCGCGGGTGCAGTGCCTCGGCAGTGCAGCCCGGAGCCGGCCCCTGGCACCGCGGGCCCCCGCCTTGCCCCTCCCAGAGCCGGAATCCCCCGTGACCCCTGCCCTGCCTGCCACCCCCAGGCCGTGCAGCTGTTCCTGTGTGACCTGCTCCTCGTGGTGCGCACTAGCCAGTGGCGGCAGCAGCAGCCCCCTGCGCCAGCCCAGGCGTCCCAGGGCGCCACCAGCGGGCCCCAGGCCTCTGCCCTTGAGCTTCGTGGCTTCCAGCGGGACCTGAGCAGCCTGCGGCGCCTGGCGCAGAGCTTCCGGCCTGCCATGCGAAGAGTGAGTGCCCACAGGCCCCTCACATCCCTACCAGCGGGGATGTGAGCAGGGCGACGAGGACAGAGTGGGGGCTGGGCCTGAACTTCAACTCTCCTGGTCCCCACCCATCCAGGTGTTCCTCCATGAGGCGACTGCCCGGCTGATGGCAGGGGCCAGCCCCACGCGGACGCATCAGCTCCTGGACCGCAGCCTGAGGAGGCGCGCAGGCCCCAGTGGCAAAGGAGGTGAGGGGCAGCTGCACCCTTCCAGGTGGGAAGGGCTCAGGTGTGATGGATACTCACGTGTAGATGTGAGAGAGACAGGCCCAAGGAGTTACCTTTATGAGAAATCGACTGGAGGTGACTGTCATTTGTGGGATACACGACCGTGCATGCGTGGCTCAGTCTGTGCCCTACGGGACAAGCCCTGGGGTGGTCTGAGACTCCACGCGGATGCCTGGGACCGGTGGGGAGAGCCCGGCTTGCGGCCCCTCCGCGTGCGGTGCGGTGCGTGGGAGGTACCTGCGGCCACCGCGGGACCGCCCCGGGGCGTGGCCGGGCCCGAGGCCCCCCCCCCCCGCGGGGGG